GTCTAGTCTATAGTCTAGTCCATAGACCAGACTGTAGACCAGACTATAGACTAGACTGTCGATTAGACTATAGACTAGACCAGTCTAGTCTATAGTTTAGTCTGTAGTCTAGTCTATAGTCTAGTCCATAGACCAGACTGTAGACCAGACTATAGACTAGACTGTCGATTAGACTATAGACTAGACCAGTCTAGTCTATAGTTTAGTCTATAGTCTAGTCTATAGTCTAGTCTACAGTCTAGTCTATAGTCTAGTCTATAGTCTAGTCTATAGTCTAGTCTAGTCTAGTCTATAGTCTGGTCTATAGTCTAGTCTATAGTCTGGTCTATGGACTAGTCTGTGGTCGAGTCAACAGTTTGGTCTATTTTCTAGTCTATAGTCTGGTATCTAGTATATAGTCGAGTATATAATCTAGTCTATAGCATAATCTATAATCTGGTTTATGGTCTTATCTATGGTCTAGTATGTGATCTAGTCTAGTTTATAGTCTAATGTACTGATCAATAGTCTAGTCTATGATCTGGATTATGGTCTGGTCTATAGTATAGTTTATTGTCTAGTCTATAGTCTGGTCTTTGGTCGAGTCTATAGCCAAGCCTATAGTCTAGTCTTGGTACATATTTTGTGAGTTACAAAATTTTTGTGTTTTTTGGACGGAAAACGATTAAAAAATTTTCAGTACTGGTCCCGAAGAACTTCTTTCTTAAGAATCTCGTGTAGAAATACCTCTCAATGGATGCGTGTTAATGTACTGAACACGAGTAAAATAAAAAATATTTGTTTAAAGGTGCCAGCGATTGACAATTTTGATTTCAGAACAATATATTAAAAAAATTAATCTGAAATTTTTTCCAAATGTTTAGAGACAATTTCGTAATTTTGAGCTGATTACAAGAAAAATAATTGTAATTTTTTTTTTTTAATATTTTTGGTAGAGTTTGATTGACATGCTTGTTATGGCTCTTTATTGAAATAGGTGGTTTTCTCTGGATAAACTCAAAATTTCGAAAAGATTACATTTTTTAGAAAATCAAACTACATATTAGGAAATCAAATACAAAGAAGTTCCTTAATTGAAAAAAGGATTTTTTTCACTGCATATTTTAACTGCGTCTCTTCGAAATTCCTTAACAATAACGCTGATTATAATCAATATATATTTTTTATAGCAATTAAATAAAATTATAAAATATGGAATGCAAATAGTTTAAGACAAATTTATATTGCAATTAATAAATATTTTAAACAATAATTTGTAGCTTTTCCAATCAATAGATACATGCACATTGGAAAACTTAGATCATCAGGTGGCTACTACACCAACTAACGTTTGCTGTTTAAAAAAGCTATATATTTCCCTCAAATACATCAAAAACCTGATAGAGCACAAAAACTACAACAAACACATACATATGGCAAAATAAGAAGAACGAGTACCATCATCCAGAATAAAACTAATAAATTGTAATGGAACTTAAGTCCCTATATATATACACTATCGAACTCATACCTATACAAAATTTACTCATACACACGTGCAGGGAAAATCAAACAAATTCTCTATATGCACTTCTTATATATATGTATACAACAGATAAATTCTATATAATAACAAAAGTATATAGATGATTTTTTTTACTCAGATGTAGATACAAAATATAATACTTACAAGCACGAGAGGAAAAAAAGAAGACGAAAAACTGATTATAATTCAAGTAGAGAACAAACATATGGAAGAGGAATTAAGGGAGATGCGTTCAAGCGATGCAATAATATTCCAGAGATGAAAGGGAAGTGAAGTACAAAATATAGAAGAAAAAAATAAAATAAAAGTTAAAGAGGAACGCAAATGTGAAAAGTGAAAAGAGACATTTAAGTTCTGTGTAGGACACCAGAGAGCAAATGAGACACGTTTAAATGTATAAAGAAGGAGGTGAGGAAGTGCCGAAAGAGGAGGAGTAAATTTAGCTGGAAACTGGTTGAGGAAGGTTGAGTTGTTGCTGACGATGATGAGGTTGTAGATGGTGTGCAATCTAAAACAAGTTGTTGGATTAGAAGGGAGGACCCTCTGTGAGGAGATGGCAAATAAATATACACATGTTTAATGAGTGCTTGTATCGTGGCTGCTGATTATAGTACAAACAACGTATACACTCATATAACAGCAACAGCAACAACAGTAAATACCACGAACGAAATGTAAGAATAAATGTACGAACTTAATACGAACTACAAATGACTATACGAATGAAATGTACGTACCAAACCAAACCAATATTACATAACATCCTTGAACTTGAGCTGTGTTTTGGGTCGGTCGGTCTCTCGGTTGGTAGGTCTTCTTTTCTACAACAACAACAACGACAACAATAAAAATCACACATAACTGAATTGAATTTCACAGTACTCACCAAACAACAACAACAACAGAAAGAACTTAAACACTTCACTGCAATTTATAGTATGAGTGAGTATTAGCTTTTGTAACTATGAGTGTGTATGTGTTTATATAAGTTTGTGTGTGTGTTTGAATTTCTGTTGTAAAAATATTGTTTTGTGCATACAATACTATTCAGAATAGAATGTATTTTTTTACAAAAAGCCAACCAACCACATTAGTAGCCTTTTTATTAATGTTTGTTTGTCTATGTGTTGTTGTTTATAAGTGTGTTAGTGCTTATATTCATATTAAATACAAGTCCAACGATTTATCCACCACCATCCAGAATCAGAGCTTTTAAGGAATTTTTTCCACTCTCGGCGTGTTAAAAGGTAATTATTAATAGTATGTGATCCATTAAGTAGTCCTATGTAATGCAGCCATGTATCATGTTTATTTTTCGAAAACAACATTTCGGATCTTCTACTCCCATAGTATTAGCAATGAAGTAATTTTGGGATTACTCTGATGTAATACTTAAATGGATTACGTAATATTTTCAAATATTTGGATTTGTTTTGGACCAGTCCTAGTCCTTTGTGGAGTACTTTTCGCACGCGTGTGCGGAGTAGTTTTAATTTACATAAAATATAAACAACCTTTTACGTCACATTATTGATCAGGATGCTTAAAATGCTAATTCGAAGGATTTATGCGAGACAAGAGTCCTGAACTGTATCTGTACAAAGCCTGTATACTTTGATTACCTTTCAAGTGATAATAGTTTCTGTGTCCAGCGATGACACCGATGAGTAGTTTCAATTTTTATAGGGTATGAACAACCGTTTACGTCACCTTATTGATTTGGATCCTTTAACTGTTAATTCGTCGGCTTTACGCGAGACATGAGTCCTGAACTGATTACCCTTGAGTGGTAATAGTTTCGGTGTCCAGCGATGACACATCTATTGAGCATTCGTCGGCGTTTTTGCTTCCAAAGATATAATCCGTTTTTATTACGATGAAGTTGAGAACCTTAGAAGTTGCAACAATAGAGGAACTCCTAAATTCCGTCTATATTCGATAATCATTTTCGGTGTTAATATGATCATTAATTTATGTCACAGCTTGTTCCAGCAACGTTCGTTAATTGCGCATTTATCGGTAATATTCCACTTCCCCAGATGCCGCCATATCAATAGCCAGATGCTGTAATATTTAGGTATATAACTGCGGTAAAGTTGACCACCTTGAGAGAAGTAAATGTTAACGGTCGAAGTCTCAAAATAAAATTCTCGGGTTCGTATCCAATTAATGTATTCCGCAATGTAAGAGAAATCAAAGAAAATATAATAGTGTAAACCGATATCGTATAATACAAAAGTCCTTAGGTCTACACTTTCCACCACGCCAAAAAACTATCTTGCACTTCAAAAATTTTAACCCCATCCCCTTAAAAGTGGTTCTCCGTTTGGTGTCCCATCTGAAAACCTGTACCGAACACAAGTAATACGTTTGAAATGAACACTGACCGAAACGCCTGAGAAATACGAACGTGAAACCATAATATTCCATTACGACAACCCAAAATCCATTGTGCAAATTGAATGCTCTGTTGTTGGAGTCCCATCTGTCTTGAGCCGCTGAAATTGGATAAGACGATAACAGAAAACCTGCACCGAACCCAAGCAAACATTGACCGAAAAATTAAACCCTAATATTCCAACATGACAACTTTTAGACACATTTTGTAAGACATGTTCAAGAAAATTTTAAAAATCGAGGTAAAGAAGTTATGCTTTAATCTTCTTATACATAGACCTATCAAAACTTTACCCCATTCCACCCCAATTTCGATTGCTTCAGAACCCTCTCATTGCAAGATATTTCACTTCAGAACAGAGTAACCGAAATAACGTCAATATTTGCTTAAAGATGTTAAAAGCGATATATAGAGACCAAATGTCCCTTTTTTGCAGATTCCAAGGGATTTATAGAAACGAACTAAAGGCGACTAAACTGTAATTATGTCAGTCATCAACCATAGAGTAGTTTATACATCAAGAGATAACATCTGTATAATAAAATATGTTTAAAGATTAAAATTGAAATCATTGAAAAATGTTTAAATTCTTTCAAGGTCTTGTAGTTTAGACCAATAACTAACTGGCCGTGTTTGTTTGACTACCTCACCCGTCCGTATGCCTAGTTAGTTAGATATTCTGATGTGGCTTTAAACAAACAAACTAACAGAAAGACAGACTGACTGACAGACAGAAAGATAGACTGAGTGACTGTCATAACAAAAGGCGTAAACAAGGAGACATACAATAATATAAACCGGCTGTTTGACTGTTGGTTGGTTGTTGGGTTGTTCTGTTCTGTTTGGTTTGGTTTGTTTGAATGAATAAAACGGAGAAATGGAATGGAAGAATAGATGGATAGATGGATGGTTGGATAGATGACTTACTACTACCACTACTTGCCACAGTGTTCGTTGAGTTGATGACTTTTCTGTTGTTGGTTGGTTGGTTAGTTCGTTCGTTGGATGATTTTTATTCGAGACATTTTTCTATATTATAGACTTAAATATTGTGCAGTGTAGAGTAGTAGTATTTTGGGTTTGCTGGATGTTTGCCACATTCCTAGTTGCCATTGAAAGCTCAACGAGCAAACTGTAAGCACAACAAACGCAATTCTAAAGCAATACAAACCAAAAAAAAATTAACATTAAAGTGATACATATTATAACAATTATTAAGAGTTTGACAAAAAGTTTAAATTTTTATAAAACAAAAACAAAAATATTGCTAAAAAATAATTTTTTTATATTATTTTTTTTTTTAAGAAAAGGAAATGAGTTTTAAATAAAAAAAATTAAAATGACATCAACTATAAAATTTTTTCAATTTTAAACAAATCCATCAAAAGTGATGACATACAAGTTTAAACACAAAATTAGTGAGAATTTTTCTTAAAACAACTACAACAATAAATAAATAATGACAAAATTCAAACTAAAAACAAAAAAAAAATAAATCCCCTCCGTTAATTAAATGCAAATGTCTGTGCAGATAATGATAAGTGATGTTGAATTGTTGGTTGGGTCATACTTTGCGTTAGTGGCTAAAAAATAACATTTACAATTAAAATAACTTGCAGCAATATGTTTCCGAAACTTAAATTGTATATTTTTATTTACCTATTCTATAATTATTATTATTTAAATTTTAAAAAAAATAACAACAAACACAAATTTTATATTTAAATATATGTAATTAAATATGTCAATTGAAAAAATCAAAATCAAAATCAAATCTAAAATTTATTTTAGATTTCCTCCTCAACATCTATTCAACAACGACAGCGTCATCGCCTACAACATCAGCAAAACACGAATTTAAAATTCATGATCAAGGTAAATAGTTAATTGTTTTTTTAATTAAATAAACAAAATTATTATATGTATTGCAATTTTAAATTGATTTAATATATTCGGACAAATATCTTAACAATTTAATAAATCACTTGTGTTTAAGTGTTAAAGTACTATTTTTAAACAACTTTTATTATAATTTAATGAGTTGTTTTAGTACAATTAAAAAAACAAAATTTTGTTAAATTATTATTAATTGTTAATTTCATTAAACTATTGTTTAAAAGTCCCATATTTAGAATATAATTTTTATTGTAATATAATTTTTATTATATTATATAATTTTTATTGTAATGGACAAACAAATAAATAACCTCTGACCTATTCTGAGTATGCATATTACCTAACCTACAAAATATGTAACACATTTCCAATTCGCTAACTAGACATAAAATGCCTTAAAAGTGTTAATTAACAACATCTTAAGAGATCACCATTTTGAACTAAAAGTACTCTTTACTCTTTCCTAATTAAATTTGGATTATCCTAGTAAAAATAATAAGAAATTGAACGAAATAGTTAGGTTAGATCAATAGTAAAACGTACATTACCACAGATCCGAAAAAAATAACCTATATCCCTTTCGGTCCTGTTGTGTGCTGACTTACATAGAATATGTGGATGCAAAAATCGTACAAGCTCAGTATCTCACTTTCGTGTACGTAGTTTCTTTGAAATTCCCATTCAGTATTCTTAAAGCATGTAATATCAGGATTAAAATTGATTCCAATATGTTTAGATCTAATTTCGACGAAAGCCAGGCATAGAAAGTGTTTCAGTGTTGAACTGTACTCTTCGCATCTTCTACATTCGTTTGAATCTGTTTGATCGATTTTCTATAGTTGTGCCCGTAAATTTATGTGTCCATTTTGAGCAGATTCCTCGTTGAGGTCACCCCATAGTATTTTTGTGGTCCTAAACACTGTTTCATTATTGCAACTGGCCGTATGGAATTCTCTTATCCATATTTTCAATAAAGTCCTAGTTGTGTCGAATGATGGTGCATTCGTCCGATTAATTTCCTTAAGTTAGGTTGATCCGAAGAAATACAGATAGGCTACTGTGCGCTCATTTAATGGAAAATGTTTGTTGGTAAAAACTAAAAACCCTTATATAGTATAGTATGCATTATCCTCCAATGTTCAGAAACTCAGTTTCCTAGACGTAATTCTTAAGGCTTTTCCTATCAATGTTCGTGAGGGATGTTATATCCGGAATAATATCACTCCAAAGATATTTTGATTTAATTTTTGCGAAAGCCTAACAACAACAAAGAAAGCGCTCCCTACATGCTCTACATTCATCTGAATCCGCACGTCCAATTTTGTATAGCTGTGCCCGTAATCCTGTGAATCCACTTAGAATATGTACCATCATACTTAACTCAAACTAGCTCATTTTGAGGAGGCTTCTCGTCCTGCTCTCTATAGGGTCACGCTATAGGATCTTTGTGGTTCTAACCAACGTTTCATTATTCCAAGAGGCCTAACCCACTTTTTAATTCTACCCTCATTGCGTCAAATGTTTTTGGGTTCGTGAGGTTAAGCTGCCATCCTTTTAAAGCTATTACATTCTCTCTTTCGTTACCGGTTACTCCTGAGTGGCCTAATACCCATATAATTAACTCCCTTAAGTACTTTTTTTTTAAAGCAAGTATATTCGGTCTCTCCTAACCGATGGGCACCGAGTTCTCCGACTGATCCATTTCTTACCACTGAAAGAGTATTAGTTTATAGCTCTCTTACAGTCTAAGACTGTTTTAGATTAAATCCTATAAGTTGTAGCTGTCGCGGAAAATATCTTAATAATGGCAATATATTCAATCAAATCCATTTTACACATTTCGTGATAGCTCGGACTTCCATATGGTAGCTAGTGTTGTTGTTAGATAGTTGGTTATATATCTCGATTTGTATGTTTTCAATTAAATCCCCAGACCCGTTTTGTCTCGCAATTTAAAGATATTCGTGTATCAGCAAATTTCCGCAGAGGTTTACTCCAATGTTACGCTTTAGCACGATCTCGTATATAGGATCAATGCCTCACATTTCCAACCCATTTCTCTTTCCGTTTACGTTCTTATTCACGCAAGTCTGGTGTTTGTTTATGTATGTATGTTCATATGCATAGTTCGAAGGTTTTATATCCAGATATTTGATATCTGACCGCAACCAATACAATTATTACTTTGTTGCCAAGGATATTCGTCTTAGAAAATTAATAAGACCAATTTAAGCCACATTTTTTAAAACAATATGATATAAAGTAACGGATACCAGATTTGAATTTCCAAAAATATAAGCAAAACATTATACCGTCGGAAAAGAGATTAATTTTCCTTTTAAATGTAATGCAATAGATAAGCATCTGGCTCCAAACTAAAAAAATTCTAAGTGAAAAAAGTGAGTTTTGTGTTATTAGATATTAACGTTAAAATTTAATTTTTAAAGTGCATTTTATAAAGTACCGGATACTTTCAGAATTACATCGATTCAAAGGGGGACTGAATTAATTGTGAATTTTATCGTATACTAGTATTTTTAAGCCAATTATAAACATTAAAATTTTATAATCAAGAGGTCCTTGTATGGGTCAAAAACTAACCTATGCTTAATAATAGCGATGGCTGCATAACAAACATTTATGTAAATAAATCTAAAACTGTCATTTCATTCTAAAGTTTCGTAACATCAACGAAACATGTCATTATATTAAGGAAACTAAATTACAAACAAAATTTTTTAGTTCATAATACCCTACACCACTTTAGTGGGGAGTGTATATTGGGTTTGTGCAGATGTTTGTAAAGCACAATAATGTTATACCTGTATCCACCTTAAAGTATACCAATCGGTTTAGAATAATTTTCTGAGTCGATTTAGATATGTCCGTCCGTCCATGTAAATCATACTACCGGTCGCAATTTTAAAGATAAGTCAATGAAATTTGACACATGATATTCTATTGTACTAGAGACGAAGTCTATTGAAAATAGTTAAGGTCGGTCAATTATTTCACCTAGCTCCCATACAACTGAACTCCCGAATAGTGCTCTTAAGCTCCTAATATACTCATATCTCAACAAAAAGCTGCAAAACCAAGTTCTATACAAGCCTTGATGACCCTGTACAATTTTATAGCGATAAGGCCTCATTTGACCCTAGCCCCTTTACAAAGCCCCATTAAAAAAATGTCTTAAATATCCACAATTTTATTCAACAATAAATAACTGAGGGAGGGTACAATTTAACTTAAATGGTTTATTTTAATTTTTTTTTTTTAATTTATTATTATAAATGGTGTAAGGTATTATTATATGGTCAACCTCGTCCCACAATAAATTCTTACTTGTTTTGTTAATGAAAAGATTTCGTTATATTAACGAAATTTTGTAATTCGTTGAAACAACAATGAAACAATTTTCATTAATACAATGATATACATCTATAAAAAACGTAGTTTTTACGAAGGTTTTTTTACAGTGTAAATTTTTGTAACTTATCAATAGAGAGTTAGACAGATGGACACCTTTGTGGGTCTCAGAATGACAAAATAAAAATAGCCCCGATTTTTTTTTATCAAATATAAATAATTTTCCAAGAAAAACTAAAAATTATTAAAAAAAAAAAACTGGAAAAAATGCATTCAATACAAAACACTGTGCTTGCGTCAAGTGAATTTTTGGGTTGTGGATGTATGAGAACAATTGTTTTTTTGCTGTTTTTGTATATCATACATATACAGGGAGACCTATACTCGTTAAAGTTTATAAAAGGGTTTGAGTCTGGGTTAGGAGAACACAATAGCAACAACAATAACAATGAAAAAAGTAATTACATATGAATGTATATAAATATATGTTCATATGTATGTATCTATATATGTATGTATGTGATTTTGTATTATATACTTTTGTATATAAGTTTAGTTTGTTGGTAAGTTTGTGGCGGTGATGATAGTAAAAAAAATATACAGAAGGAAAGCAAAAGTAATACCAACACTAACACATTAAATCTCTAATAAAGCCCGAATAAGAGCGAAAACATTGTCGTGTTATAGGTATATACGAGAGATTAAGTTTGTGTTTTTTTTTTTTTTTTTTTCAAAATAAGGCAAAAAATGTAAATAAAAATGAAATAGAAAAAACAAACACTGAGAGAAAAGTTTACTGTACAGAGGAGATTGAGGAAAAAAACCAACGAGTAATTGCACTAAATGAGCGAGTGAGTACATTGTGTTTTTTATTGTTGTTAGGATTTCAGATAACAACAACTTGCTCTCACAGTGAAAGCTAAAAGCAAAATAAAGAAAGAAAGAAAATACAAGATTGGGTCAGGGGTCTTAGTTAGTGGAAAAAAAGGGCCCCGATTTTACACAAACCCCTTGTAAAGAAAGTGATAAGAAAACAATAATAATAAAAAAGCGAAATAAAGAATAAGAAAAATAAAAAAAATTATAGTAAAAAGTAAACACAAACATTTTTTAAGGACTAAAAAATAAATTTTTAATTTTTCAAAAAAAAAAAATTATTAGAAAAATTATTAGTTTTTATAAGTTTCAACAAAATTACACACCAAAAAAAAATAATAATAAAAACAACCATATAGTATTATTCCCCATAAACAAGAACAAAATAACGTAGAATGAGTACTAGACAGTAGAAACGATTTTAAACGAATCAACGTCGCTTGTTATATATTTTTGTTGCTGTTGTTGTTGTTGTTAGTGTAGCTGTTGTTGCTGAAAACGAAGGTAGAGAACTAAACTAAACTTTCCATATGGTCTGCTGGTGATGACTGTGGCATTGAGAACTGAAACCTTTGTGTGATCGTACGAAACGGATATAAGCGGCATCCAAATAACAAGCAGTAGCAGCAGCAACAACAACAACAAAAACCATTAAAAAAAGAAATTGTAAAAAACACACACATACATACCAAAATACTCTAGCAACAGAAATTTAATAAAAAATTACTTAAAAGTAAATAAAAATTTTATTAAAAAAATACAAATAATTAAAGAAAAATCAATAAAACTTTTATTAAAAAAAATTAGAAAAATTATTTATAAATTTAAATTTGTTTGAAAATGTTACAAAAAAGTGTTTAAAACATTACAATTCCATAACAATTTAATTGATGTGCCAAATTAAAAAAAAAAAACAAAAAACAAAATTGACAAACCCTTAAGTTGTTCAAAGTTTTCCCCTCCTCTTCCTTCTGCAAGTAAGTAAAAACAAACAAATTGTATAGAAAAATATTTGAAAAGTATTGAGAAAAAAATGAAAACCTTATTGCGTCGTAAACTAAAAACTATACAATATACAAAGTTTTTCTTAATAATTACATACATGCGACTTTTTTTTTCAAATAATGTGATGAAATTCTTTTTGTTTGTTAAAGAAAATTTTGGAAAAAAGTTATTGAATGCAAATGTAAATAATAACCAGACTCTGATCCACAAGGATTATTTGGATTAGATATAAAAGAACATATTTGAAGTGTGATTTCAAATTAATCAAGAAATAATTTACTATGGAGCGGTACTCACTGTAACTTCGATATTATGAAAAAAATCAAAAATATATCCAAGAAAACCTATTCTATGGGGACTTGGGTCAATTATGAACTGAACTATACAGAGTCTGATTGAACAGTTAAAACATTATTCGTGCCACATCAATTATATTTTGTTATATTTTGTAAGCAGATGAATTAAAAACCTATGAATTTTGGTCATAGACTTCCAATTGGTCGGTCCATTGTACCCTACTTACCCTAGTAATATCTTTCCAGCTTTCAAATGTCCTAAAGGAACAACGATCCATTCTTATTACATACAACTTCGAAAAGATTTCAAATTTGAATTTATATATAACCTGGGTCTCATATTAAGAACATAACCTCAATATCGGATATAGCCCGTTTTAGTGTTATAATTACGTTTGCTTATTTTAGACAAATTTAATTATGGAAAGTCTTCCTTTCGTTTTTATTGAGTTCAAAAAATACATATTAACTTGGTCTTATTAAAATCTGAAAGTACATTTCTTCTCAATTGCTTCTAAATTGGCTACCCATGGAGCCCCAATAGAAAAATATAGGTAGCGGAAAATGTTTATTAAACTCTCAATACGAGGGTAGGTTTATAAAGTGGGTTATTTAAAGTTATGTTTTCATTTTAGAAGATTTGCATTTTAAGTAATAACAACTTTAAAAATAAACATAGATATTGGTCTCTAGACCCTCCTGACATATTCTCAAAAGTCATCTAAACTCATAAAAATTACAGAAATAGGAAAAATTAATGTTTATTCATATTTTGGGGACTTCAACTTGCATTAAATGAACTTTGACCCTTGACATACATACATTTAATAAATGACGCCTTTTATCTGAACACTGATATTGAGATTAATTGAGAGTAAATAAAGTATTTAAGAATATTTTTTCAGTTGGAAGTATTGAAACAACATCGTTTTTTAGCTGTCATTTTAAGTGGAATATTGGGCAATAAAAATATATATCGAAAGAGTATAATCAAAAGTATCTATCTTAAACAAACCAAGGAGATCTAGAAAAACTCTTTATTTCCCTAATTCGTGAAGGGTTTTTCAAGTTTTTCTTCTGCAATGCGATTATTTAAAAAAAGTGGAATATTCGTTTTTTACCTTAATTCAGAAATATTTTAACAATTTGTTGATAAACAAAGATATTTTCTAAACGAGGGGTTATATAGGTGCAGGGGGTTAATATGGTGGAGGGATTTACGACTACATAAAAGTTTTTTATGCAGAATTTAATCGTGATACTAGTGTTTATAAGTGAATTTTGACCTTCAAGTCATTTTCTGTAGGGGGCTAGGAACATTTAACATAATTATGAGCTCAAAAGCCTTTTCCGAAGGTACTTTTGTATTGGGGCTAGGTGAAATAATGGACCGACTTTAAATATTTGGGCTTAGTCCTTGGATCAAAAGAAGAGTATGTGCCAAATTTCAACAAATTATCTTGAAAACTTCCCTTCCCCCCGTGGATCCGCGCCTGCTTTAATCAATATTTTTTTTTAATTTTTCCTGTTCGGAACTAGTTCTTGGGAAGATTTAGAGAACATACACCCCTTTTTTGCAACAGTTCTGGAATTAGTTGTTTTTTTAAGGAAATTTTGTTCTGAATATTTTTTTCTTCTAAATTTTTTAAACTTTGTTCAACTGGTTCCAAGAAGTTGTTATGGAACTAGTATGAGTTTTATTGAAATGTATGAATATATAACTTGTGCCAGATAACTGGTTCCTAGAAAACGCTGTAGAAAGACTTTAGAACCAAAACAATGTTTCCCAGAACGGGTTCCAGAGGTAAAAGCGGCATCACTAGTTCCAAAGTTGATGTTCAAGAAGCTGAAGTAGTTCTATTGGCATCCTTTCTAGAACTTAATTAATTTAAAACAAATTCTAAAATATTTCATAGGTTATTTAACAGTTTTGTAAGCAATTTTATATTAATAAATTAAAATTTAACGTTTTTGTCAGTCATTATATAACAACTTCAAAGTAATGCAGACAGTATGCAGAAATCATAATAAAGTGAAATAATTAATAAAAATATTGCCAATATACAATTTTAAATACTCAAACAACATTTTAGCAATTTTCTTTCAAACAATAATATTTCAAATAAATCACAGACAAACAAAAATTGTTGCCAAAAATTGTCAAAAAATAAATATTAATAATAGTAAAATAAAAATATGAGAAAAATAAATTCATTTCTTTTGACAAACTACAAATTTAATAAAATTAATAACTACAATTTGCAATATAAAACAACAATTTAAGAAAAAAAAAAATGCTTAATAAAAAATTTTTGTTCATTGCACGAGCAAATAATGTTTACTTTTTTTCTGTTAAAATTGTACTAAAAGAATTTTCATTATTTATTTGTAAAAAAAATAAACATTTGCAAAAAATAATAAACAAAATGCAAAAATACTGAAAAATTTTCTTCCACCCAAAAACTGTGGAAGAAAAACGAAGCACTAGAAAACAGAAATAAAAGCAAAAACAGCAGTTTAAAGAAGAAAAAAATATAAAAGGAAAAGACAATAAACAAAATGTTTATAATTTTATTTTTATAAATAAATAAAGTACACATCCGGTAGCAACGGCAAGAATGGCTACTAATGAAAAATGCAGAAAAAGAGTTTAAGAAAAAAAAAACGGCAGCAAATTGAAAAACTGGATACAAGGTTGCATTCGTTGCATGTCTACGGCAGTTGCTGCTTTAGGAAAAAATACTATTGCATCAGTAAAAAAATGAAAGAAGTTTAATTAAAAAGTTTATTAAATCAAACAAACTAAAGAGCGTTAAGTAAATATAATAACAAATAAAAAATTGTTTTATATTATGCAAATTTAACTGGTTTCAATTATAAATCATTTTATATAGAGTTTTTTTAATTAAATAAATCTTGAGCTAATCCAAAAAAACAATAAAGCATTCATTTACTACAAGACTGTTATAACTCCAAAGATATTGTTACGAGAAAATGTCTTTATAAGTTTTTTTGACATTTTTTAAACATGAGATTTTTGAAATATGGTTCATATCTCCGTTATTTGTAAACCGATTTAGTTATAGAATTATTGAAGATTTGGAACCCAAATATATCTGGTGTGTTTTAGAATCTTTTATTTTTGGAAATAATTTAGTATTTCTGAAACTATTGAAGATATCGTAACGGGCGGAAAGGGCGGGGCAGTGGATAGCGTCGTAAAGTTGGTCATCTCAATTATCTATTAAAAAAATATATATCCAAAAATCCATTTATGATCCGAATGAGCCAAAATTTAAAACTACTCCTTGAGAAGATCTATAAAAAAAATATGCTTTTCTTTCAGAGATACTTAGGTTTAAATTTTTTATTTTAAAATTTTCCCGATATTTTTTAGTTTTTTAGAAGTGGCGGGCCTACGGGGGGTTGAAAAATTTTTTTTTAATATATTCTGTTGTTTATGTGATCCGGAAAAATAACTTAATGTGTAAGCGTGTAAAATAAACTTTGGCCCATTTAAGCGAACACTGGCACCAGAAACGTTACTTAAACTTGTTTAATATTAAAAAAAATTAGCTTTAAGTAAAAAATTCTAAAACCCCAAATCACCGATCCCCATAATGGCTTCATATATATGTAGCGCTAAATGTTTCTTAAATATATTCAAAGTATTTTTACTATCACATCACAGGGTAATTTTCATCAAAAAACTCAGTTTTTTTTAAACATTTTCCCCACTTTAGGGATTGCATAGAATATGCGAAAACTGGTAACGGCGTTATTTTAGAAAGATTCGCATCTAGGTTAGGTTACGAGGGTTGCTCGCCTTGTGGCCCGTAGTAATACCCTTAGAATTGCCATTCCCTTATGTTGAGAGAATGGATTCCTTCCCTAATTTCGATAACTACTTAGTTCTTGCGGTATCCGTAAAAACCAGCTGGGGTTTCTAATAAAAATGTTTACTAGTGACGCATCTCTGAGATAGTCCAGATGATGGAAAAGAGCTCTACCAAGATAAAGTAGTCTGTGCTCTTGTAAGGCTGAGCAGTCACATAGAACGTGTTGTACCGATTTCACTTCTTCTTCGTCCAAACAGCTTTTGCAGTAGTTATTATGTGGGTAGCCTATATGTTCCAACACATATCCAATCACACAGTGCCCAGTAATTATACCAGTTATGCCCGCAATTTCAACGAATAGGTATCTATCAGTGCATAGTTACATAGTTATTTGTTGAAATTACGGGAATTTGGAGCCTAATCGAGTTCTTACTAAGAAACAAGAGAGTCCAAGTCCTATCCGTTGTCAGAGTGGGCCAGAGCAGTCTCAATATTCTACAAGTGGTGATATTTGACCACCTGACTTCCGTCTCACTCAAAGCCCAGTCATCTATCAATTTTGATAGGGTCACCAGAGGAGTGTGAATATCTCTTTGCGCAAGGGTTAAGTCTAGGGACAACCTTTTGGTTGCGCATTCATCAGATATTTTATTTTCCCGGATGCATTCATCTCCTGGAATCCTAATCAATTCAACGTGATGTTGTGTCAGTTGTGTCAATGATTGAATACAATTGAGAAGACATTTCGACTTAATAACATTGGAGCCTTGATTGGTGTAAGGCTGTCCAAGTATATATGTATGTATAGTTGAATTTTCGATATTTAGTTCCCGGATT